ATACTACAACAGAAATACTTATAAAATTCATGAAGTTGGTATTAATTAAAATTGACAATAGCAAATTTGAACTTTTTTATAAATTATTATACATGGCCAAAAAATTACTTGGATTATTGGATCAATTTGTTAATTTTGTAACATGTCAAAAATATTACAAATTATATAAACAAGATAATATACTAAGTTTTTAAAAAAATAATTAGTTATTAATAATGAAGTGTATTCATATCAAATTTCTAAATTTAATAATTCAAAAAAGAATTTGTAATACTTTATTATTTATACAGTTCAAATTATTAAATAGAAGTATTAACTAATCAAAATTAATTTTTCCTTATGCAACTATTCAGTAGTAATTATTTCAGATATATCAAAATTCAAATTTTGAATTTAATCTTTGATATTAAGTAAATTGATTAAATACTAATGAATTGTTATGTAATATTTACAAAAACAATATTAAAAAAACTTTTAAGAATAAAAATTCTAGAATATTTTTTAGTAAAGAAACAGTCAATTTATATTTAGAATTGGTATTAAATATTGACTAGTTTCAATTATATAATAACAAAATAAGACCTGTGAATTTATAGTGTAGTGGTTAATACTTTACAGGTCAAATCACAAGATAACAGTTCAACCCCATATGAAAGCAGTTGAATAGAATTAATATAGTATCTGGTGTTATAACCTGTAAAAGCACTATTTCTCATAAGAAGCCATTTCACATACTAATTTAGTAGGCATTAAAATTGTGATTTTCAGAAAAGATGTGTAGTGTGATGATCATCTAATTGGTGTTATGATGATTATCAAAAGTTGCAAGATGTATGAGATGTTTGTTTTTAATAAGTAGGTTTGATAATTACTTTTTTAATATCTGGCGTCTTTCACAGATCCTTGCTCTAGTCTCATCTCAATCCAATAATAAACTGGTCTGGCAGTACTTATCCTAAGAAGGTATCTGGCTATAAGTCCTGTTTCCTGCAATATATAAGTCAGTATTTAGGCAGTAAGCACTAGTTATAAGTATCTTGAACATTCTTGAATATCATTGGACAGGTAAGAAATTAAATGGTTAGTCCAGTTGCAAGTGGTAGTAAAGGGATTTATTTTCGATAGAGCAAGTAAGAATTATGTAGCTTTATTTGCCATAGATATTACCTCTAGTGCTCCTTTCAACTTCTCCTTAATTCTTCCTCAGTTAGAAATAAAGCTGTTTAATTACTAGTGAAAATATATGCTATTAGATAAATAAAGGAATACCTTTGTTTACACTAGTCAAAATAGATTTATTTGACATAATGCTACTTGTCAATTATTTGTTAAAAAAGTATATAATTTGATTAATAAATTTTATATAATTTTTATCTTCGGCTATAAAGTGGTGTATAATTTATTTGACACATAAATGATATATTTTTTTTAAATCTCATTTTGAAGAAGTTAATATTTCGACCGTAAAATGAATAATTTATTTTTTGTACCAAATATATATACTGTATATATTTTGACTTTGCTGAATTATATTACTTTGACGAATTATATTATCTTGCCAAATATATATTGCTAAATTATAATACTTTGTCGAATTATATTATCTTACCATATATATTTTTTTGCTAAATTACTATATATTATAATGCTGAATTATATATGTTTTAATGAAATTTTATATATTGTAAAGGAATAATAGCTAAATATTCACGAAAATCTTATCTATTTGAAATCTTATATTTAAATGAAATAAATTAGCTAAAAATATTATGAATAGGAATTATACATTTGCATCTAAGCAGATAAAATTTGATACTTCATAATTTAGCATTCGCATTATTTTCGAATCCAAAATAGAATCTAATATTTGTCAAATTAACAGGTTTAAATCATCAAATAAAAGTCAAATTGTATTTTGCCATATTATTCGATAAGTTAACTGAATGAGTAAAAAAAAATTAAACCTGTCCTGAGTATAAATTGACACTTCCATTATGATTTACAAATCAGGCTAAAACAAATGAACCTTTTATATTTCATAGTGACATAACGGAATCAAAGATTTTGCTTCCAATTTAGTATCTTTTATATTGATCAGCTCTATTTTAAACAATTATTGAATTATTATTAATATCTTTAATAAATAACCTTTGAAAGTTTATGATTTCATAAGAAGCTTCATAATATTTGTCCAATAAATTCAAGATTTCAGAAGATACAATTAAATTAATTTTTTAGGATGCAATAGTTTATCAAGAAATTGTTCAGATCCATTGATAACTGTCTCTTGAATATTATATATATTGTTTAAGAATTGGCATAGTTTGTTGGCCAAAAATTGATTCAATTCTGAAATTGATCTAATATTTGATTGATTATTTAAAATTTTGAGTCCTATATTATAATAGGATATGGTTAGATTAATAATTTAGTGGTCATTTATCAATCTTCACATTAGTTTGGGCTCAATATTTTGATGACTATTAAGCAATAATCCTAAATTTAAAATTTGTTAGAATATTATTTTACAAATATTAATTATAAAAAAACCTATCTAACAAACTATTTATTTGTTCAAATAAAAAACACCAAAAAGTATATAATGACTCATAATTATACATGTATTCATATATATATAAAGAAAGATAAAGATCTAATATAATTTATTATTATTATATTTTTATTCAATTAACTTAATCATTGTTATTAGTCTTTTATAATCTTTGTTTAATAATTCTCATCTTATAATTTGGCATGTTAATATTTAATATATTTTAACAAAATTAATTAATATTTGGCAATTAATTTTTAGGAGATATTTTCATAAAACAATAGTTACATATATTATAAAAAAATTTCTTCATTGGTCAGCAGTAAAGTTTGAAAAACCTTTTTCACTGTTTATTTTTCTTGAGATTTGACTAATATCAGATGATACTTGAAACTTTTTCATTGTTATTTGTATTTCATCTAATGTATTATTTATCAATATCTCTTTTTCAATCCATATTTGCTTAACAAACCATTTATCAATATTTAAAAAAAGACAGTATATTGGATCAATAACCAAATATTAAATAGAATTAAAATAGGATAAGCAAAGAAATTTAGACTATCTAGCTAGATTCTTATTAACAAAATGTTTTTATACTATATTTATATTACAATTTCTCCATTCAGTAGCATTTTATATATGTGTTATCAAATTCCTTGATATAAACCATTTATTTGTATTTTTCATGTTATCAAAGTTATATTTATTATTTACATGATTAGTTTTTTTTTATAACAGTAACAAGATACTAGTACTGAAATATGTCTACATACTTTGCATGCTATAGAAATATTACATGAAACTAAAATTAAAGCTATTCAAATTATTCTTCCTTTTTTATTTTCAACAGTCAATTCTAATATTATTTCTTGTTATATTTGTATCAATTCATCAACAATTGATACAAGATAGTAGTTTATTTTGTGTAAACTTGGTTTATTATAATCTAATAATATGTCAAAAATCAGTATATTTTCATACTTAAAGCATATATCATGTGACAAATTGGCAATGACTACATATATAATACCAGTATTATGTGCTTTGTTATAATATGGTTAAAACTAGTCAATATTTAATATCAATTCTAAATGCAAATCAATTGTTTTTTTACTAAAAAATAATTTAGAATTTCTATTCTTAAAAGCTTTTCAAATATTGCTATTATAAATATTGTATAACAATTCATTAGTATTTGATCAATTCATTCAATGTTAAAAATTAGATTCAAAATCTGAATTTTGATATATCTAAAATAATTGTTATTAAATAGTTGCATAAAAAAAAATTAATTTTGGCCAGTTAATGTTTTCATTTAATAATTTAGACTATATAGATAATTAAGTATTGCAAATTATTCTTTGAGTTGTTAAATTCAAAAATTTGAGATAAATATACTTTATTATTATTAGCTGATTGTTTTTTTGAAAACTTAGTATATTGTTTTGTTTATATAATTTGTGATATTTTTGATATACTACAAAATCAACAAATTGATCTAATAATCCAAGTAATTTTTTGGCCATGTATAATAATCCACAAAAAAGTTCAAATTTGCTACTATCAATTTTAATTAATATTAATTTCATAAATTTTATAAGTGTTTCTGTTATAGTATCTGACAAATTAAATCTTATTTTAAAGTTCATAATTCATAATAAAATCTATATAAAATAGTTATTAGCAAATTCATTAGAATATGATAGAACTTTATAATCAAGAATCAAATAATTTTCAAACATGTTATTAGAATTATTATTAAATTTATTATTAACTTCAAATTCAGATTTGTTATTTTTAATTTCAGGTTCAGATTCATCATTTTCAGTATTAGTATTATTCAGTATGGAATTTTATTGATTATTGCTTAAAGTCATAATTTGATTTAGCAAAATATTCTTAGTTTTTTGTTAAATAGTAAATTTTTAATCTGCCAAGTTTTTAGTTTTTGTTTTTTGATATCTATACAAAAACTCTATTTATGAATTAATAAGTAATTTATTGCATTTATTACAGTTACAAATAATTTTCATTTTTTTAGGTTTTTTTTTTGAACTTTTGCTAAGTAAAGCTGAGATTAAATACTTTTTTGCTATTTCAATTTACAAATATTAAACATAAAATAACAAAAGTTATTATTTAACTTCAAATTGACAAATGTTAACAAAGTTTAATATAATACACAAATTTTAATATAATACAACAAATTTTATTTAATAAGACTAAATAACAAATATAACATGACAAATTTAAATATAATATGACAAATTTAAATATAACAATATTAAATAACAAATTTTTAATATAAAAATATCAAATAAAAAATTATAATAATACAAAATGATACAAACAAGAATATAATAAATGTTAAATTATATGATAAAAAAATACATAAAATTTTATATAAATATATTTATTAATTTAATTAAAATTAATTTTTGCTAAAATGTCTAAACAACAAGAAAAACTATTTGATAAAAATGTTTATAGAGAAAAGTTACAACATTTATTACCTTCACAATCTTCAGAATATTCTTTACAATTCCAATATTCATTTTTATCAGTTATATCAGAAGAGCATACAACAACATCTAAATATCAAAGGTTCAATTCCTGTAATGACAATCAAATTATTCAGAAGAAGGTTATCTTTTACATTATTCAACAGTTTAATGACTGAAGTTATATAAGTATCAACTCTTGAACTAAAGTCTATAACTCAAACTCAGGAAGAAATAGAAAAAGGTACAATTTAAATTATTTTTGAATCATAAAATCTATTTTTACTAATTTGTCGATTTATTTAAAAAATAAGAGTTATATATAAAGGTAAATAAACCAAAAAAAGCAAATGCCAATTTGAAGGCATGATTAGTTACAATGAAACATATAAATAGAATATTTTTTAATAAATCAAATTAGAAAAAGAAGTATATTGAATATCTAAAAAAGGAAAATGAACAACTAAAATCACATAAATTAACATTATAGTCAATAGTAGTTATAGAAACTATAAAAATAATATCTGAATATCAAAACTAATCCAAACCTAAATACTAACCCAAATTTGAATACCAATTTAAACTTGAATACCAACCTAAACTTGAATACCAATTTGAACTTGAATACTAATTTGAAATTGTGCTTAAAACTGAAATTGAATATATAATTTCAGATTTTAAAAATGTATCAAATATATTAAAAAGCTGAAGAATCCAACTTTCAAAAAAGTATAAAAGTGTCAAAAAGAGTAAGGATATCGAAAAGTTCAAAGTAATAGAAATGGCCAAACCTTCAGAAACTGTTTTTAAAAATAAAAAAGAAAAGAAGACAAGAATTGAAATAAAGGTTCTGGTAAAAACTATCCCTAAAAAACTTCAACTAAGGATAGACGAAGTTTATTCAAGTAATACGAATAAAAAAATATTAAGCAAGTTAATACTTAAATTATTAAAATTAATGCTTCATATTTTAATTCATTATAAAAGCAACTGAACAATTGGTTAGGTGCTTTACATTATTATCAAAGAAAAAGATATCAAAATGTATAAACTATACATGTGGTATAAATTATTTGCTATTGACTCAATTCCCAAAATCCTCAAAAATAATTGCGTCATGACTCAATTATTTATATGT